GAAGTGCAAAAAAAAGGGTGGATACAGCCAATTTCATGAGTCAATTCTACCAAGAAAAGATCATTCCTATACATATTTGAAAATGAGAATAAAATGGCAATCTAGTAATTGCTAATGGAAAAACTGACTATGTTGTACTTATCAAGAGTTGGCTTGCCAGAGCCCTGGCCGGGTAGCTCAGTTGATTAGAGCGTCCTCCCAATACACCAAGGTTGCAGGTTCAATCCCTGGTCAGGGCACATACAAGAATCAACCAATGAATGCATTGACAGGTGAAACAACAAAATTGATGTTTCCCTCCTTCAATCTCAATCTCTCCCCACCCCCATGCCTTCCTCTCTCTATATAAAATCTATAAACAAATTTTTAAAAACTAAAAAGTTGGCTGGCCAGTCTCCAATAAGACAAAATGTGGCCAAGTGATACTGTCTTTTATAAGTAGCTTACAGAATTTTCAAGGCTAATTTTTATTATATGCACGTTATACTTTTAGGTTCTAAATTTAGAACTCCCACACTACAATGAGGTTCCACTAATGAACAGGATCAAGCAAAACAGATTTTACCTGTAGCTGTAATTCTTGGCTCTCACTGACTCTTCAGCCAAGCCAGTCTACTAACTCTTGTATGCACTTTTTACCATTCATCATTATACATCTCACTCTCTAGAACCTGTCAAATAAAAACCCTATCTAAGAATAATCTTCACCACCTCCAGTTGTAAAACACCTTCCATGTAATTTTCCACTCTTCTTTCATTCCTATTTTCTCAGTTTGTGCCATTTTCCCAATGACACACAACCCCATTTCTGTCATCTTGTAGCGATTAAGTTAATAAGTACAAGAACTTCCACCCTTGTGAAACTTAAAATTCAAAAAAATACATCATTTGGTTTCAAAAACACAGAATCAGTAGGATGAAATCTCCTCTGCTTACAGAAAACTCAGAGAAACAAAACCTATACAGTATCAAAGAGCTTTCCTTGAAATAGAGCCTATAAGGTATCCCAGGTGAAAGAAGTCTTGAAGTAAGGCAAGTTTGTCCCAACTAACCACCCTCTGGGACAAGGAGCTGCTCCAGCAAGCTACTCATTCAGATAATTACAATCAAGACAAGAGGAAGAGAATATGGCTGAAAGATAAGTACATAATCTTCAAACAGATGAGGGAAAAACATTCTTTACATCCAAAGATAAGTGAGTTAAGGAAAAAAACTTTAAATAAGAGTATTTTAAAGGTTCAAAGAAATAAAAACAGGACCCATATCCAAATATTATACAGGAGGTTATAAAACAAAAAAAACAGTAGTAATAAATAAGCAGTTGTGGAACAAAACTAATGTAAAATCAAAGAAATATAAGTAAAAAAACAGGCATTCTCTCAAAACACAGCACATAAAAGTACAGAGGAAAAAAAAAGACATGAAATATAGATCCAGAAATTCTAATATTCAACATGTAAGATAAATCTAGAGAAAATAGAAGAGTAGCCATCTGAAGAAATAATGGCCAAAAATGTCCCAGAGTTTAGGACAAGAGCACTAAAAAAGATAAACAATAGCAAACTCCCACTTACAGTACTGGAAAGCTTTGAAAAATAAAGAGAAAATCCTAACGGTTATTACCAGAAAAGAGTACAAATTAAGAGTGATAGCAGACCCCTCATCAGTAACCATGGGCCAAGTAACCAAGTAACCACTAAAACAGCAGAGAAGCAACCAGGCCTCTGAGGAAAAATAACATTTCCTATCAAAGCAGTTCTGAAATAGTACCTATTTACTTGATCATCTTTCTCAATTAGATTTTAAGTGCCTTAAAAATAGGTACTGTGTCTTGTTCACTGATAATAAATCACATTTGCACTCTAGGCAACTTTATATAAACACCTGACAAATATTCACTTCAGAGAAATTTAGAAAACCTCCAGTTACTCTCAGGTTTCTATGTAGTCCTACCTACTCTGTAATGCTCAGTTCTACCAAAGCATTTCAGAAGTCACTAAGGAAATTAAAAGAAATCAACATTCAGCCCTGTCCAGTGTGGCTCAGTTGGATGGAGCATCATTCTGTAAACTGAAAGGTTGTAGATTTCAACACCTGCCTGGTCAAGGCACATGCCTAGATTGTAGATTCCCGAGTTGGGGCATACAAGAGGCAACCAACTGATGTTTCTCTCCCTCTCTCTCTCTCTCTCCCTCCCCCACCCCTAAAATCAGTAACTATGTCCTTGTGTGAGGATTTAAAAAAATCAGCATTCACGAAGCTAAGAAACCAAACTGCAGTTTAGAACTGTATCATAAAGAACTGCAATGGAGCATTCAGCCATGGCCCTGCACTACCCTTGGCTGTGGGCCTCAACAGGGGCCAAAGAGTGACCAAGAACATGAGCAAGCCAAGGCAGAGCCATCGCCACAGGTGCCTCACCAAACACAACAAGTTAATGCAGAACATTATCCAAGGTGTGTGGCTTTGCCCCCCAGTGACAGGCATACCATGGAGCTACTCAAGGCAACTAAAGACAAGAAGGCCCTGAAATTCATCAAGAAAAGGGTGGGACCTTGACTGGTGTGCCTCAGGAGGTTAAGCATCATCTCGCCAAATGAAAGGTTGCTGGTTCAATTCTAGTTGGGGCACATGCCTGAGTTGCAGGCCAGGTACCCGGATGGGAGGGTGCAAGAGGCAGCCAATCCATGTTTCTCTTGCACTTCAATGTTTCTCTCCTTCTCTTTCTCCTTCCCTTAACCTCTGTCTAAAAATAAATAAATAAATTTAAAAAAAAATAAAGGAAAGGATGGAGACACATCAGTGCCAAGAGGAAGAGAGGAACTGAGCAATGTCCTTGCAGCCACGAGTAAGGCAGCACCCAAGAAGGTCTAAGCCCCAACCCCTCCATGTATAAGAAAACCTGTTCAGAAGACAAGGAACTGCAATGTATTATCAAGACAGTTATACTAAATTTAGTCAGCCTTAAGTTACATATTTCTTAAGTTAAACATACACACATACTGGACCCGAATTTATAGACTATTTCAAAGGTTCTCAAAACATGAATAATTATTTACTCTTCTTTTGTACAGTGATATAAAACAAAGTTTATTTCTTCTTAAAACCTTTACTCTATGGCACAGACATACAAATTAATGCATTTATTTCTAGGCTAGAATCGAAAAGTCCAGAAATAAATCTCACTTATTATATGTATAATGGTCAATTAATTTTCAAAGATGCTAAGACAGTTCGCAAGGAAAGATTATTTTTTCCAACAAATGGTGCTAGAAGAACTGAATATACACATGCAAAAGAATCCACATGAAAAGAATGGGCTGGGCTGTACTGGTGTGGCTCAGTTGGGTGTCATCCCGCGAAGCCAAAGGTCACCAGTTCAATTCCTCGCCAGGACACATGCCTGGGTTGTGGGTTCAGTTGTGTGCATACGAAAGGCAACCAATCAATGTTTCTCTCTCACACTGATGTTTCTGTACCCTGTTCTCTCCCTTCCCTTCCTTCCAAAAAAAAAAGAATGGCATGGGACACGCACCTCCCACCACACATAAAAGTTAAGTGAACATGGATCACAAACCTAAATGTAAACAGCTAAAACTATGTAACTCTTAAAAAGAAAAACAAAAACAAAACGACACAGGAGTAAATCTTTGTGGCCTAGGATTAGGCAATGATTTCTTACATGACCAAAAACAAAACAAAACAAAACTTTTAACCAATCTTACAACAATCAACTGAATTTAAAAAAAAAAGAAAAAATTCAAAGCTTTTGTGCTACAAACAATACCATCAAGAAAATGAGAAAGCCCTGGCTGGTGTGGCTCAGTGGATTGAGCGCAGGCCCGCCAACCAAAGCATTGCCGGTTCAATTCCCGGTCGGGTACATGCCTGGGTTGCAGGCCAGCTCCCCAGAATGGAGTGCAATCACACATTGATGTTTCTCTCCCTCCCTTTCTCCTTCCCTTCTCCTCTCTCTAAAAATAAATAAATAACATATTTTTTTAAAAAACAGAGAATGAGAAAAACAACTCATAAAATAAAAACTATCTGAAAAAGTACTTGTATCCAGAATACATAAAGACAAACCACTTAATACACAGAATTTGATCTGACATTTCCCTAGAGAAGAAATATAAATGGTCAATACGTACATAAAAAATAATCAGTTACCAGTCATTAGGTAAATGCAAATAGGAACCACAATGAGACACTATTTCACCTTCAGCATGGTGTCCTGACAGTACACACAATGACAAGATTGGCATGGAAGTGGAGAAATTAGAACTCTCTTACATTGCCGGTAAGAATGTAACATGGTGAAGCCACTTTAGAAAACAGTTCAGAAATTCTTCAAAATGTTGTTTAAAATAAGAGTCACCATAAGACCAAGCAATCCAAACTCACAACCAAGAGAAATGAAAACAACTCATCTGCACAACAACTTGTGAATGGTCACAGCCACATTATTTCTAACAGCTAAAAAATGGATATCCAGATATCCATCAACTGATGAATGGATAAACAAATGCAGCATGTCCATTCAACTGAATACTACTCAGCCGTACAAAAAATGAAATACTAATACATGCTAAAACATAAATGAACATAAAAAATAATATGCTAAGTAAAAGCCAGTCACAAAAAGACCACATACTGTATGATTCCTTTTAAATGAAATGTCTAGAATAGACAAATATAAAAAGTAGATTAATGGTTGCCTAGAGCTGTAGGTGGAAAGGGTGTAAGGAGTAATTGCTAATGAGCATGAGGTGTCTTTTTGGGCAATATTCTGAAATTAGATGTGGGGATTGCTGCACAACCTTGTGAATATAGTAAGACCATTTAATTGAACACTTTAAAAGAATATGGTAAATTAATTCCATGTCAATAAAGCTGCTATTGACACACACACACACACGCACACACACACACAAACAGTACTCACCCAAACGTGAACTTCCATTACCCAAAAGACTTAAAACATTTCTCTTTTGTCTTACCTTTTAAGGGCATCTTTGAGTTCAGGCACAGAACGAATACACTGAACTGTAGCATTCATGTAACAAGTGTTACCGAGGTTTGTCAATCCACATGGTAGTTCCATCTGATAAGGAAAAGAATAAAATCACTTTTATAAAATGACAGAACACATATATAAATCACTGAGGTTCACACTTTAAAGCAAGTATAATTTACCAACTCATAATGATTTATATTCCACCTTTACTCTAAAGCAGGGTAAATGACGCCAAGGGGCGGCATTTACACCAGGGGCCACATCAGCCTCCAGGTTGCCTTCAAAGGGGCAAATGTAATTTCAGGACTGTGTAAATGTAACTGCTCCTTAACTAGGGCCAAGGAGCTTGGTGCTGCCGCCAGGTAGAAACAAGGTGCCGGGCTGGATAAAACAAGGTGGAGGGCTGGATTCGGCCTGCGGGGCTTGTTTTAGCCACCTGTGCTCTAAAGTAACATGTTTTATTCCCCAACAAAAACTTTTCCTTGCATCATACTCACAATCATTCTGTGTTTTAATCAATAATTCCTTTCTTGAAAATAATAAAAGGACAGTCATATCAATCCTGACCTCTTTGCAGGCTTATCATTAAAACAGGGTGACAAAATATATATACAAACACTTCCAAAAACATGAACAGTACTGTACAAATGCTGGGTGGTAAAATAATAACAACAACATTTAATAGATATATGCTGGCCAGTTTCTAAACCAATGCTGCATTTAAATTAAGGACGAATTGTATATATTTTCAACCTGGAAGGTTTTAAGAATTTAAATATCCTAGTACTTAAACTACTTAGCCTCTTTCAGCCCATTTCCACATAAAATTAATAGTAAAGACAAACAGTGTTGACAACTCCTCAAATTTATATTTAAGTATATACTAATTCACTATATAATAAATTATCTAATTATAGAAAAACTCCAGTCACTTTCAAAAAACATAAAAATAAAACATACATCTTGATATTAACTATTAAATCTTCAAAACAATCAGATGCTCCTTTCTGAAAGGCACTTTAATGTACTTCTGAAAAGCAGTGTTCACATAAAACATGGTTTGTCTTACAGCAGATGCCAACTGCTCTTCTGTCATATCTTCTACGAAGACAGTTTTAGCTGAGGGTTCCTCAGGAAGAGCATCTGCTGAGCCCATCATTAGTAGAGTCATTCCCTGTTTTAAAACAAATCAGATCCAAAAAATGCTCAAAAGTTGACCATTTTCATGCTCAATGAAAGAAGCCAGACATAGAAAAAACAATTACATGCTTGTACTTGCCAGAAAAGATAAATTTATAGAGACACAAAGTAGATTAGTGGTTGCTAGGACTGAAGGTGGGACGAGGGAGTAACTTCAAATGCATACATATTTCTTTCAGAATAATGCAAATGTTCTAAAATTAGACAGTAGAGAAGTTTTCATGACTCTACTAAAAATCACCGAAGTTTTTTTTAAAAGTACTGAAATGGCTGCTTCAGGCAGAGATCACCAATTTATCTACAAAGAGGCCCAAGGAAACTTTTTAGAGTGGTGGAACTTCTTTATCTTGACTATGGTGTGGTTACATGACTATACAAAATTCACCAAATTCATCAAACTATACACTCAAAAAAGGGTAAGTTTTATTCTATATAAACTATAAATAAAGCTAAAGGGAAAATACTGTCATAAAGAAAATTGAGAATGTTTCCATTCTCGCACAGAAGGGATTTCTTCACATGATCATCAACATTTAATGGCACAATTTCTTCTCATAACAAATAAACTAAGCACTAAGATTCTTTCTGTGAATATCTATTTTATAACTGTAACAATTATTTACATTTGAACAGAAATATCTTAAGAGCATTGAAATCTCCATTCCAGAAAATATCACATCAAACATATAAGTTCAAAATACTCAATTTTATAATTCTACAAATTGTTAAACCTAAACTTACATTCGATATACATGTAACATTCCACACAACTAAAGACCAATGAAGACACTGTCATCCTAAATCTCATTATGTTGAAATGTGAACAAGATTATTACCAAGCTCTTAACATGACGACATTAACACATGAAACAAAGAAAAGGGTACAGACTTTTTTGAAATAACAACCTGACTGGAGGTTTAAAAAACAAAGAAAGATAAAAAAATGTCTTGATGAGGATTAAAATTAGAAAATGAGGTCAATGAACACATAGTCTTAAAGGGAACCTATGTTGAAATCCAATAACCCTCATTGTATCACCTGTTATTTTTACTTAAGCTTTTTATGAGATAATGCCAAATCAGAACTAGAAAATCTTTTTCTGAAGACAAGTGTCTCAGGAAAACCAAATTATTTTTAAAATATATTAGCAATAGCTATTTAGAAAGTACAACAGGGACAAGTGAATACCAATAAATATCTAAGAGAGAACATAACAAAAAATACATGATAAGAAAACTATAAAGTTCTAGTTAAGGATAGAAAAAAAAACCCACCTAAACAAATGAAGGGGACAAAAGAAAACTGTACTTGAAAAATAACTCAATAAATTTAAAAAAAACAAAAACAAATGAAGGATATAACAAGTTTCTAGAATGAAAAGTTATTGTAAAGAATGATTCCGAATTATTATCCATATTTAACAAAATTCCTTTTTGAAACTTTACAAAATTTTTCATTCATGGAGCAAATTCATGTCCATGACAACAGCCAAGAAATTTCTGAAAAAGAATAAAGACCAAAGCAATGCCATTTAATATTATTAACAAACATTACACAATGAAGTATGTTGAGCTAAAGAAGGTTGGTTGGCCATGGCTGGTGTAGCTCACTGGAATGAGTGCAGGGCTGCAAACCAAAGGATCGCAGTTCAATTCCCAGTCAGGGCACATGCCTGGGTTGCAGGCCAGTTTCCAGCAGGGGATGCATGAGAGGCAACCATACATTGATATTTTTCTCACTCTCTCCTTCCTTTCCCCTCTAAAGATAAATAAATAAAATCTTTTTAAAAAAAAAGTAGGGGGAAGCCCTACTTTTCCAGCCAAGGGGGAAGCCCTACTTCCTCTCGTCTTCCAGCCAAGACGGAGGTGTAGGTGGCAACACTGCCTCCTCACACAACCAAGTTTAAAGACAACAAAGTTTTAGTAACAAAAACGCAACCAAAACACAGAAAATTGAACTGTATGGAAGTCCAAGAACAACTAACTACTCAGCCAGACCAGTAAGAGGGGCGGAGTCAGCGGCTGGTGGAGGGGGGTAGTGCAGGAAAAAAGTGGTGAGACACACCCAGGCGCACAGGCGGCAGTTGGCAGATCCCAGGTGTGGAGTGGCAATGGGCGGACACAGTGAGGACACAAGGCGGCTAGCTAACCACGGTCACACATTCGCACGCAGATAAACCAGGTGAGGGAGCGAGCAGTGAAATGAACCGCACAGGCTAGGGCCCCAGCAATGGGAATTAAAGCCTAAAAGCACCAACTGAAAAAACTCCCAGGGTCCAGGTGCTGGGAGAAGTTCCTAGACTCACAGAGAGTTTGTTGCAGAGACCCACAGGGTCATGGAGGGTTCATAGGCCCAAACACCCGGGAGCTGGCACCAGGGGGGCCCAGTTTGCTTGTGGGAAGCAGCAGAGGAAACAAAAATGTGAGAGAGAGGGGAACAAACGCCACTGCCCCTCTCTGACCCCGTCCCCAGATACAGCATCACAACCCAGCCACTGGGCTGCCCCACACTGGTGGACACCTAAGGCTCCGCCCCTCAATGTAACAGGCACGAACAGACCAAAACATTATGGCTCAAACAGAAGTACAAATCAAAGCCTGAAAGCCAATACTTTTAAGCAAACAAGAGATAGCCAACTTATCAGATGCACAGTTTAAAACACTGGTGATCAGGATGCTCACAGAACTGGTTGATTTTGGTCGTAAATTAGATGAAAAAATGAAGGCTATACTAAGTGAAAGAAGGAAAATGCACAGGGAACCAACAGTGATGGAAAGAAAACTGGGACTCAAATCAAAGGAGTGGACCAGAAGGAAGAAAGAAACAACCAAACAGAAAAGAATGAAGAAACAAGAATTCAAAAAAATGAGGAGAGGCTTAGGAACCTCCAGGACATCTTTAAATGCTCCAGGATCCAAATTATAGGGATACCAGAAGGAAAAAAGGAAGAGCAACAAGTGGAAAACATATTTGAACAAATAATAAAGGAGAACTTCCCCAATCTGGCAAAGGAAATAGACTTCCAGGAAATCCAGGAAGCTCAGAGAGTCCCAAAGAAGTTGGACCCAAGAAGGAACACACCAAGGCACATCATAATTACACTACCCAGGATTAAAATGAAGGAGAGAATCCTAGAAGCAGCAAGAGATAAGGGGACAGTCACCTAAGTACAAAGGAGCTCCCATCAGACTGTCAGTGGATTTCTCAAAAGAGACCTTATAGGCAAGAAGGGGCTGGAAAGAAGTATTCCAAGTCATGAAAGCCAAAGACCTACAACCAAGATTGCTCTACCCAGCAAAACTTTCATTTAGAATGGAAGGGCAGATAACGTGCTTCTCAGATAAGATCAAATTCAAGGAGTTCATCATCACCAAGGCCTTATTATACAAAATGTTAAAGGGACTTATCTAAGAAAAAGAAGATAAAAAAGATGAACAGTGAAAGGACAGCAAATTCATAGTTATTAACAACCACACCTAAAACAAAAGCAATCTAAGAGGACAGCAGATCAGGAGCAGAACCATAGAAATGAAGATCACATGGAGGGTTAGCAACAGGGGAGTGGGAGAAGGAGAAGGGGGGAGAAGGTACAGAAGATAAGTAGCATAGATGGTAGGTAGAAAATAGACAGGGGGGAGGGCAAGAATAGTATGGGAAATATAGAATCTAAAGAACTTAATGATACATGGACATGAACTAAAGGGGGAATGTGGGCGGGAGAGGGTGTGCAGGGTGGAGGGGAATTAAGAGGGAGAAATGGGACAACTGTAATGACATAATCAATAAAATATATATATACTTTAAAAAGCAGGTAATAATTTAGGGGGCAAAAATACTACCAGTTCACTACCTCATGCCATGCCATACCAAAATGAATTACGAATGAAAGGTTTAAATATAAAAAATGAAACAATTACAAAAACATGTAAATGAATCAAAAAAATCTTGCCATATTCTCTTTTCTTTTTTTAAAAGATTTTATTTATTTATTTTTTGAGAGAGGAAGGGAAGGAGAAAGAGAGGGAGAGAAACATCAATGTGTGGTTGCCTCTTGCGCATCCCCCTGGGGACCTGGCCTGCAACCCAGGCATGTGCCCTGGCTGGGAATCAAACCTGCAACCCTTTCGTTCACAGGCCAGTACTCAATCCACTGAGCCATACCAGCCAGGGCTATATTTTCTTAAATTGATATAAAAGATGAAAGAACGGATGTCACTAACTATATAAATACTAAAAACTTCCATAAAACATTACTATAATTAAAATTTAAAAGGACGACCTAGAAAAAGGAATTCTACTATTTATAAGCACCTTTAAAAAAAAAAGTCAGCCTGGCTGGTGTGGCTCAGTAGATTGAATACCGCCAAAGGGTTGCCAGTTCAATTCACAGTCAGTGCACGTGCCTGGGTTGCAGGCCACGTCTCCAATAGGGGGCATGCAAGAGGCAACCACACACTGATGTTTCTCTCCCTCTTTCTCCCTCCCTTCCCCTCTCTCCAAAAATAAATAAATAAAATCTTTTAAAAAAATGAGTAAGGCAAACACACAATAGAAAAATGGACAAAAATACACAGAAATCAAAAAAGGTTTTTGAAAATTAATAAAGTAAGGTTCTACCTTAAGAAACTAGAAAAAGCATACATTGAAACCAAAGTAAAAGGAAAAAATAAAACCGAGAGGGGAAATCAATAAAATAATAAATGAGCAAGAAAAGCTGATTCTTAGAGGGTAGGAAATTAATGAAATTAACAAACCTCGGAATTCACAATTTGCCAATAACAGGGAGAAAAGAGAGAGAAAAAATAGCACTACAGATTCTAGAATGAAAGAGTATATTATGCCAATCAATTTGACAACTTAAATTTAATGGACCAACTCCTTAAAAGATGCAAACTACCAAAACTTATATAAAAGAAAATATAATATCTGAATAGTACTAAGTTCTTAATTGAAAGTCTTCCCACAAAGAAAGCTCCAAGCCGAAAATTCTTTCCATTTTATAGAAATTCAATGGAAAAATTCTACAAAATATTTAAAGGAAAAACAGTATAAACTCTTTCAGAAAAGAGGGAAGGTCAGGATGCTTCCTAATTCATAAGCCCAGCATTACCCTGATAGCAAATTCAGACAAAGACAAATAAACTACAACCCATATCTCTTAACCAGTGCAATAAAGCAAGCAAAAAAGAGAAATAAAAACCACAGGACTGTGAAGAAAATAAATCCTTCTTTGTTGCTGATACCTACATTATCCTAAGACACTAATACATAAAAAAAATCATCAGTCATAGGATATAGGTCAATATAGAATTAATTATGTTTTTATATGCCAGTGAAGTAAAACAATAAAAAGACGTCATAAAGATTGTAAAGGAGAAGTAACGTTGCCTCTATTTGCAGATAACATGCTGTGTACACAGAAAACCTAATGGGATCTAAAAAAACAAAACAAAATTACTAGAACTCATAAGTAAATTTACTAAGGTCACGGGATAAAAAACATACTGTATTTTTATAATCTAGCCATGAACACTGAAAAACAAATCTTTTTAAATTATAGTTTTCAACAGCTAAAAAACATTGTTTCACGAATCTAACAAAAACTATGCAAAACCTCTATGCTGAACTGAAAAACTAAAAAATTCTGTTAAGAAAACATAAAGACCTAAATGGATAGAGAAGCATATCCTGTTTAAGGATTTTAATACTCAATAACAATATGTTCATTCTCCCCAAACTCAATGTAATCTCAAACAAAATTCCAGGAGCCTGTATCACAGAAACTGACAGACTTCTTTAAAATTATACAGAAATGCAAAGGAACTAAAATAAAATAGTCTTAAAGAAGAAAAAGTTGGAGAACTTATACTATCTTATTTCAAGAGTTACAAATCTTCAGTAATCAAGACCATGTGGTAGTGATGTATCAATGAAACAAAAGTCCAAAAACAGACATACAAGTGGTTTTTAAGAATCACTCCAACACAGTCAGGGTGAAGAGGAAAATATTTTCAATGGATGGTGCTGAAACAACTGGATATACACATGGAAAAAGGTATTTGGAATATATTTTGATATATTAGGAAATTGCACTATAAGAAGTTTTCTTAGGATAATACTTACATTTTTTATTTTGATGTTTCCCCAATCATCATCCTATTTCAAAGACAAATAAAAAACATTTAATAACTCTGTACAATCTAATAAACTAATTTTAAGCTACTTCCAAATAGAAATTTTTTTCTCAGAAGATTTTATTTAAATTACTGTAATCAAAAGTATTTTTAAGAAAATAGCCCTGGCTGGCGTAGCTCAGTGGATTGAGCACGGGCCTGCGAACCAGACAATCGCGGTTCGATTCCTAGTCAGGGCACATGCCTGGGTTGCAGACCAGTTCCCTGCAGGCCAGTTCCCAGCAGGGGATGCACGAAAGGCAACCATATATTGATGTTTCTCTCCCTCTCTCCTTCCCTTCCCCTCTAAAGGTAAATAAATAAAATATTTCTTTTTAAAAAGCGAATGCAAATATAAATTTAAAAAAAAAAAAAAAGAAAATACATGCAGCCCTGACTGGTGTAGCTCAATGGGTTGGGCATCATCCCAAAGAGTCACTGGTTCAATTCCTGGTCAGGGCACATGTCTGGATTTCGGGCCAGGTCCCCATTTGGGGCTAGAGGCAACCTAGTAATATTTCCTCTCTCTCTTTCTCCCTTCCTTCCCATCTCTAAAAATAAATAAAATCTTTAAAATAAAAAAATGCAGTTCTAAAAATAGGAAGTCTATCAATTGCTTAAACTACTTACATAAGATACCACCTAAAAGGCAGTAAAAATGGCAACCCAAAAGTAGTAAAAACACCTGATGGATGACAAATAAAAATATGCTGATTTTTTGCATGTTCATTACATATTTGGAACCAGCAGAGCTCAGGTGACAAGAATGAAGAGTAACATGAAGTAAGATCTACATAATTAGGATAATTATAGAATTTACATTCCAAATCAGGAGACTTGAGAAAGTGCTATTAAAAATTATACCAGAAGAGTAAAACAGGACTATCCAAGGCAAACTAACCCTTAATAATACTTGCTGTGTCCACAAATGTTTCTCCAGTACTAAATGTCACATCTATGAAAAAATTAACAAATACCTTTACTCTAATATGTTTGAATAAAGATTTTTTTCCTTAACGCCATGATTGGTCCATGAATAAAGTCAGTTCTATATTATTTCTCTGTTTCTTTTGTGGAAGGCACCGGGAACTCAATCTGCTTCCCTCTGCTGGTGCCATTACCTCTCTGGATACCCTGCTTCAAAGTGGCACAATAACTTCCTGAAGACCTTTCTCAGTATATGGGTTTTTTTGTTTTCAATGTTTTGCATGTTTTTTTAAATTTTTCATTTATTCATTTTTAGATAGAGGGGAAAGGTTAGGAGAAAGAGAGGGAGGGAGAAAAACATCAATGTGTGGTTGCCTCTAGCAGGCCCCCTACTGGGGACCTGGCCTGCAACCCAGGCATGTGTCCTGAATGGGAAACTAACCAGCGACCCTTTGATTCACAGGCCAGTGCTCAATCCATTGAGCCACACATGCCAGGCCTTCTCAGTTTAAAAGCAATCACTGCTAGTTATTTGTAATGATAACTATATATACCCCCTCAGACTAACTTACTTATCCAAGGTTGTCACAAAAGAGCTGGGAAATGTACCCAGATCTACTTGACTTATAAATGACATGCTCTTTTTGGTATCTTACTATATCTTACTTAAAGCTCTATGATGCTGTTTACTCATTATGGAATATATAAAATACATTTACTTTCATCATTTTTAAATACACACAGTTGAAATAAAAAAAGAAAAGCCTGGCACAAAACAAGTATTCAATAAGCAGTAGCTATAAGTAGTCAATTTCATTTAATTAGCATTTTTCTTTAATTCTCTACAGTACACCACCAAGACGGGCATAACTTGTTTCACTGTGCTTTCCTCTATTGCGCTTCGTAGATATTGTGTATTTTACAAGACTCTCCAACAGCAAAAAATCTCAGAAATGGTTATCATTTTTAGCAATAAAGTATTTTTTAATTAAAGTATGTACACTTTTTTTTAGACATAATGCTATTACACTCTTAATATAGTATAAATATAACTTATATACACTGGGAAACCAAAATAGTTGTGTGACATGCTTTACTGCAATGGTATGGAACCAAATTTGCAATATCTCTGAGGTATACCTGTATACAGCTCAGCAGAAATTAGGTTATCAATGTTCAAAAGCTGATACTGCAACTTGGAGAGGAAACAATGTTTCTTCATCAACATATTTTACTGCCCTTATCTTTAAAGTTAACTATAGGCCCTAGCCTGTTTGCTCAGCTGGTTACAGCATCCTCTACATACATCAAGGTTGTGGTTTCAATCAGAAAAGAACCAACCAATGAATTTATACATAAGTAGAACAACAAACTGATGTTTCTTTTTCTCTAAAATAAGTTAATAAAATTAAAAGAAAAACATTTAAATTTTTTTTTAATTAAAAAAAAGTTAACTATAGCTCTTTAGCATTTTGTATCTAACATTTTTTTTTTTTTAGCCTCACCTGAGGACACATTTTTCACTGCTTTTAGAGGGAGGGGAAGAGCGAGAGAGAAACACTGTTTGGCTGCCTCTCGCTGGTTCCCTAACAGGGAATCAAACCTGCAGACTAGGCATATGTCCTGAAGGAGAATCGAACCCGCAACCTTTCAATGAACAGGATAATGCTCCAACCAACTGGGCCACACCACCAGGACTTATATCTAACTCTTGAAGAAATACTGTAAAAACTATACTTGCATAATATTACAAACAACAATGAAGAAAATACCATTGGGTCTTTTAGGTGGCCCTTCCTCAATGATGCTAGTTAGCTTGGACTCTTAACTGTAACAAGGACTCTTAACTGAATGTGATCATTCCAAGGAAACTAAAGAGAAAATTAGGTTCCCTCTCTTTTTAAACAAACCTTTTTTTCTCCCATCACCAGATAAGCGTTAGATGGCAATTACTCTTAAGATAAAGGGGCTCTTTTTTAATGGTTTGGACGCAAGAAAGGCCATAGAAAAACTTAAGTTTTCCAGTATTCCACAGCCAGGGCTTTGGTAAAGATCTCAAAACATTCTGAATCTCGACATCCAAATGCATGTACACTTTGCAGCAGTCTTGTTATTTTTAAAAAATCTACCATATTGGCCCTGGCTGGTGTAGCTCAGTGGATTGAGCACGGGCCTGAGAACCAGACAATCGCGGTTCGATTCCCAGTCAGGGTACATGCCTGGGTTGCAGGTCAGTTCCCAGCAGGGGACGCAGGAAAGGCAACCATACATTGATGTTTCTCTCCCTCTCTCCTTCCCTTCCCCTCTAAAGATAAATAAAATTTGTTTTAAAAAAAATCTACCATACTGTTTCATATATTTAACAGAAATAAAATGTTCCACTCCATAACAGAAAATTACTAATACATATAGATTTTATAATAGTCTAAAAATAAAAGTTATACTTTTAACACACCCACCTAGGGGAAAAAAGCTCAAACAATACAAATAAATGGAAATGCCCCATTCCCCTGACCCACAAAGGTATTCATTAATACAGTGCATTTGAAAATAAAATATTTAATGATGCTTTTACACATTTGAAATGGCTACAATGTTCCTCCGTACACTAAAATGGATAGTTGTAATCCCATAACTACATACTCACCAAATACACCTCAAGTGCTACATTTCAGTAATTATGTAATAACAGTGCATAATAAAATAATGGACTCAGTTTTACCTTCAGTGTTCCTCCTTTCACCATAACTTTCTGTCTGGCGGGCTGGACTCCAGTCAATGCAAAAAGCTGAGCCTTGAACACCATTGGAGGTTCATCGGTATTCAATTCCACACCTTCGAATTTCTCCTTTCCCCATTTCACAGTAACTGCAATGAAACCGTAACTTATTTTTTCATTTACAAAATAACAAAACTTCAGATTTAAAAGGCTAGTTCTTTAAAGTACATCCGTCTTCAAACTACATCATTCACCTTTTTATATTTGTTATCTATACCAAATCAGGAGTAATCTGCATGCTGTAGGTCCTGAATATAATTTAACGTATCTAATCCAACATCTCATATGATAAATAAGGAAGCCAACATTTAAGAGAAGTTGGTTGATTTACTAATGTCAAAAAAAACTAGTTTGTAAATATTCAAGTCTTTTTGCACAACCCAGGGTTCCAATGTGGGAAACTACAGCTTCAAAACCTCTGCCTGTAAAAACGGGCAGGGGTTGTGGCAGCAGGACAAACTCCCAGCCTCACAGGAGAGTTGTTGGAGAGACCCCCGGGGTCCAAAAATGTAAAAAAACCCACCCCCCACCCCCGCCAGGAATCAGCACCAGAAGGGCCCAGTTTGCTTGTGGGTAGCAGGGAAATGACTGAAAGAGGGCCAACAGCAGAGCAAGCAGCACTGTTCCCTCTCAGACCCTTATCCCCACATACAGCCCAGCCCTGGTGAATACCTAAGGCTCCACCCCTTACAACCTAACAGGTATGCCAAGACAAAGAAATATGGCCCAAATGAAAGGACAGATCCAAACTCCAGAAAAAGAACTAAGCAATGAGGAGATAGACAATCTATCAGATGCAGAGTTCAAAACAATGAAAATCAGGATGCTCAAAGAAATGACTGAGTACAGACAAAAAATGAAGAAGTGAAGGCCATAAAGAAGTTAAATAAAGAAAAAGTATATAAGGAACAAACAGTGAAGGGAAGGAAACAAGGACCTGAATCAAAGACTTGGAACAGAATGAAGAAAGAAGAATTCCAAAAAATGAGGAGAGGCTTAGGATCCTCTGAGACAATTTGAAATGTTCCAACATCCCAATCATAGATGTGCCAGAAAGAGAAGAGGAGGACCAAGAAATTGAAAACTTATTTGAACAAATAATGAGGGAAAACTTCCCAAATCTGGCAAAGAAAATAGACTTTCAGGAAGTCCTGGAAGCTCAGAGTTCCAAAGAAGTTGGACCCTAGGAGGAACACACCAAGGCACATCATAATTACATTACCCAAGATTAAAGATAAGGAGAGAATCTTAAAAGCAACGGGAAAAAAGGAGACAGTCACCTACAAATGAGTTCCCATCAGCTGATTTCTCAAAAGGTTTCTTTTGGCAAGAAGGAGCTAGAAAGAAGCATTTGAAGTCATGAAAGGTAAAGACCTACATCCAAGATTACTCTATCCAGCAAAGCCATTATTTAGAATGGAAGGGCAGATAAAGCACTTCCCAGATAAGGTCAAGCTAAAGGAGTTCATCATCACCAAGCCCTTATTATATGAAATGTTCAGGGACTTATCTAAGAAAAAGAAGATCAAAACTAAATACAGTAAAGTGACAACAAACTCACAACTATCAACAACTGAACCTAAAAACAAAAACAAACTAGAACAGGAACAGAATCACAGAAATGGAGATGACATGGAGGATTACTGGTGGGAAGGGGGAGAGGGGAGAGTGGGGGACAAGGTACAGGAAATAAGAAGCATAAATGGTAGGTACAAAATAGATTGGGGGGGGTAAGAACAGTATAGGAAATGGAAAAACCAAAGAACTTATATGTACAACCCATGGACATGAACTAAGGGGGGTGGGGGGGATGCTGGTGGGAAGAGAGTGCAGGGCAGAGAGAGGCAAATGGGAGAAAAAAATGAGACAACTGTAATAGAATAATCAATAAAGATATTCAAGTCTTCTGAATCCTACAATAATCTCTGCAAAATATGACCACATTAAAATATTCCCCAGAATAAGATTCACAGACTTCGAATGTATTTAATTAAGCAGTCATTAAAATCTACATACTGTTGGGAATAGAAAGGAGAGATTTTAGAAAGGTAATTTGAAAATAAAAGAAATTGGGAGCATATTTAAAACAAGAGATACTGCATTCTATGTTTCCTGAGCATAAGATGGTCAAATATTAAGAATTCAAACACATAACTAAAACACTAAAAAATACATAAATCATACTTCACAGCCATTCGAATGGCTATTTCAAAAAGAAAAAAAACAGAAAATAAATAAGGACGTGGTGAAACTGCAACACCTGCCCATTGCTAATGGGTCTATAAAATGGTGCAGCCACTGCGGAAACACTATGGTAGTACCTCACAAAATTAAACACAGAATTACCACATGATCCAGCAATTCTACTTTTAGGCATATGCCCCAAAGCAGGTAAAGCAGGGACCCAAACTGATTATTCTATACTCATGTTCATAGCAGCATTATTCATAATAGCCAAGATAGGAGCAACCCAAGTGTCCATCAACAGAAGAATGGGTGAACAACATGTGGCATGCCCATGTGTGTATATAATGAATATTATTCAGCCTTAAAAAGTAATTGAGTTCTTACGAATGGTACAACATGGATGAACCTTTGAAACATTACACTAGGCAAAATAAGGCAGATGCAAAAGAACAGATACTGTATGATTCCACTTACGTGAAATACCTAGTCAAATTCATACAGGCAGAAAGTAGCATGAGGGGAACAGAAATAGAGTTTCAGGTCAGAAACATGAAAACATTTGGGAGATGGATAGTGATGACGATTGCACAACAATGTGAATGTACTGAATGCCAAAAGCTGTACACTTAAAAATGGTTAAAATAGTTCATTTTATGTTACATAAACTTTACCACAATAAAAAATGTTCAATTAGCTTCATAAAAGAGCTAATTTTTTAAATACTTAAAAATAAACTCAAGAATATATACTTTGTTCTCACTAAAAACTTTATACCTCCTCAAAATAAGAATTTCACAACAGTTGTCTGATTTCCAACTATAAAAATCAGAATATGAAAAACTGACCCTGTGACTCTATGAACTTATAGTCTAGTAAGGGAGAAATGGGGGGAAAGATTAAAATGAATAATGCAATATAAATATTATAAAGGCTACAGAAGCACAGAATATGCTTCATGAGTAAGGGAGATCTTCCTGAAAAAGTGGTAACTGTGTGTTATTGCTATCAGCTTTTTATTACTATCAAGTTGAGACTCAAAGAAAAATTAGGTGTTAGCCAGAGAAAAAGACAAAATAAAGCATTCCTGGAGAAGACAAGAAAAACATTAAAAAACATAAAACAACATGGTATGTTCTAAAATACAATTCCCACAATGCAGGAGAAGCAGCTGAAACTGGAAGCTAGTCAAGGAACATAAGTTGTATTAAAACATACAGGCTTTATGTCATAGAAAATGTGCAGCCCCAAAAAGGTTTTCATAAAGGCCACCTGGGTCTAGTTTGAACAGTAGACTAATAGCAGCAGGGAAAATGAGTTTGAAGAGGGTGCAACTGTAATCATTGAGATTAAGCTATAAACACACAAAACAGTACAAGCAAAAGACAAGACTAAACCAAAAACGGTTACCAAAATTAAGGAAGAGGGACCCTGGCTGGGTAGCCCAGTTGGATAGACCTTCCCCCAGGTGACTACCCCATGAGTCAAGATTGGGGGAAGGGTTTGATTCACAGTCTGGGTGTCCAGGTCCATTGCTGGTGCATGAGTGGGTGGAGCAGCAGGATGAATATTTGCTTCTCTCTCTCTCTCTCCCCCCGCCTTGCTAAAATCAAGAAAGGAGGGGAACAAAGGAAAGAAGGGGGAGAAGGAGGAAGGTAGTGAGGAAGGGAAGAGGAAGGGAAGGAGAGAGAAAGAGAGGAAGAGGAGAAAAGAGAAGCCAAGCCTATCTGAAATGTACTTAGCTGTGTCACATGGGCAAAATTACTTAAACTTTTTGCTTACCCATCAAGAATTATACCAGTATCACAGGATTATGTTGAAGATTAAAACAAAGCAACATGCAAAATAAATAAACAACAAAAAAAGCAACATGTATAAAAACACTAGCTTTGTGCCAGGCACAGAAGTGGTCATTAAATTTTATGGCACTTACCTTAACCACCCTAAAAATCTGGATATTTAGTTTTCTACCAAAATTTATGAAACAGTACCTAAAATGTTCTCGTTTTAATATAGGGCTTTTTGCAGAACTGACTGACTCAATACAGATGTCAAAGGAAGAAACCTCAGAAATCGACTTCAATTCCCTCATTTTGGAAATGAGGAAAAGTTTGATTGAATGTGTAAGAATGAACTCAACTTTTAAAACAGAAAGTTTGGTAAATATAGGCTTTTCTAAAAAAGATTTTATTTATTCATTTTTTGGGGAGAGGAAGGGAGAAAAAGAGGGACAGAAACATCGATGTACAAGAGAAACATCAATGGTTTTGTCTCTCCCACCCGCCCCAACCAGGAACCTAGTCTGCAACCCAGATAAGTGGTCTGACTGGAATCCAACCAAAGGACCTTCTGGTTTTCAGAATGAGGCCTAATCCACTAAGCCACACCAGTCAGGGCTATGAATATAGGCAACAGAGGAGCTGGTTTTGTTGTGTTGTGTGTTAGCTAACCTGTGTTAGTCTACACTAGGATTTATCACCATTACTTAATGCTCCCTCAATTCTATACTGCATAAATGGAATATTTCAAGTACTCTTCTAATGTTAATTACTGTGTATTTATCCTACTGTAATAATCACAGAAAGATATTCAGCAATAATTATTAAAGCATTCAATTCAATATTCTAGAACATCAAGAACCCGCCTTGAGATTAACATTCCTCTTTTGTTTCATACCATTCTTTTAAAATGCTGAATTTCCAATAAAGGAATTATGATAGCTGGGTATGGCCAAGGAATCACACGTCCATAGCCAAACACCACAAACACCTTAGGTGCCTTTCCTTTAGGTCTTTATTTTTATTGCTGACACTATTACAGATGTCCCCATTCACCCTCCCCCGCCCGGATGCAGCCTCCACCCAGCCCCCGCACCACTTTCCTCCGGCCATCACCACACAGTTGTCTGTGTCTATGGACCATACATATACGTTCTCTGCCTAATCCCTAGACCTTTCACCCAGGTGCCATCTGATGACACAGGCAGATTCACTGACTAAAAATGTGATCCCTCGCCAATCCCTTAGACTACCGTCATGCAAAATACCTGTCACACACCAATGAAAAGAAAATAACCCTGGAAATGGGTATTCATCTACCTCACAAAGCTAAGACTCTGCTTTGGACATAAACGCAATACAATTTTTGATGAAATAAAAACAAAGCCCCCCAAAGAGTCGCAATCTGCCTTGGGATAAAACAGAAACTGGTACAAAATAGGAGGGTGAGGCAAAGGCAGCAAGGGGTAAGCAAAGGGAAGCTACTGAACGATGAAGATTAATCTCACCCTCTCACTTCAGGCTTCCCTCCTTGCTGCGCCCTTCCACAGCTACCACTAATAAGCACAAGGAAATCCCACTACACCTGCAGCCTGGTCCCCGGGGCTCCAGGACACACCCTCACCTTTCCCGGCACACTAGGACAGCCACAAAAACTATTCTGCAGAGTCACCACTCCCAGAGGCCGATGCTCACGGCTTCCCCATCTCCACTCCCGCTCCCACCGCACCCACCAGGCGGCCCAAAAGACACCACGCTCCCTCGCGATGCGGGGCTAGGAAGTGGCAAGGACGGAGAACACGGCCAGGATCAACTCCACGCCGCAGTCACCCCCCCATCCCCACGCTCCCCTGCCCCCGCCCCCCCGGGCTCAGCCGGGCTTCCGACCCGCAGGCCAGGCCTACTCAGAGGCCTAGTGCTGGGCAGGATTGCGGGAAGCAAGGCGACGAGGGGGGCTCACCCGAGTACAACGGCATGGCGGGACGAGAGGAAAGGCGGTGGCGCAGGAAGGCTGGCCTGGTAAAGGCGGCGACGGGGAAAGGGACACGCAGAAGCTATGGCAGCAGCCAAGACAGAGGCACGGTATCAGCGGCGGCTCCGGTGCGACGACAGCCTCATTCAAACCGGCCACTGGCGATGACGCAGCAACACGCAGTTCGCCCTCAGAGCTAGAGGAGGCGAGAAGCGCAGCGGCGAGGCGGGGCCTGGAGGGTGGAAAGACCGGGGTGGTGGGAGCGAAGGCAGGAAAGCCTTAGCGGGCGAGACTGAGGGCACGGGGCGTGGGCGCGGGCGCGCAGCCCGTGCGCCTCTGCAGGTGGGCGCCTGCGCACTGCACGCGCCCACCTCCTCGTGGACCTGGCCCCGCCCAGTCTGGCTTCAGGTGTTGTAGGGACTTCATGTTCTTGTGACTGTATTTTTGAAGTCTGCCCCCTTTTTCGAAACGGTGGGTCAAGCCAGGGATTTTTGTTGGTGATGTGGCTAGTCGAACAGCTGAGAGCCTTATTCCTCTACACCTCAGATCGGTATATTTACTAATGAAAATGACTTTGTCTGCCCTTTAAGGAATTTTGTGGCAAAAATAAATATGACCAAGTTTGATTTCAGCACACCCCACCACATTTGGTGCAGTTAACTTCTATCCTCGTGAGGGAGCTGGGGGATCTGAACTGAAGACAATTAGAGCAAAATGAGGACGTGGAATGATGCTAAGAATTGAAAGGAAAAATAAACAAACTTGACATAGCTGGCCTTCCTGGATGGCAGTGAGAGTTGTAGAAGAGTTGTAGAACCTTGCCCCACATACCATATGTTGCTAAGCCCTGGTCTACGTATGTCTAATGGGTAGAAACTACTGGTTAAGGTTGACATCTTTAAATAATCAATGTACTGGTAATATTTTAACCTAAATGTTTATAAGTAAAGTATAAAATGTGGTTAAATAACAGAAAGTAAACCTCTTAGGGTTTATTGCTTAGAATATACCCTCCTTATCTGGTCAACAGAAATTGTATCCAACTTTAAAGTCTCCACGTAATGCTAACTCTTTCATGTACTCTTAAAGCCTACTCCTGCAATTACCCTTTCTGTCAAGTAACATTACATAATAACTGTTTGCTCTTTTTATGCAACAAGTATATATTGAGTGCAAGATACTCAATATGGAACTATGAATATGAAGATGAATTGGACAACCATCCTGTCCTCATACAATGGAGAATGTACTAGGAATACAGAAATATGTGCACATTAACTATGTGGCTCTCCGAATCAGTCAAACCTCTAGGCTATAAAAAACAGAAGCCAGAGAAGGAATTGATTGGTTGAATACAGGACAAACTAACAGAATCAATAGGAAAAGCAGCAAACCACATAGATACTGGATAGAAACCAAGGGATATGGGCACCAGGAAACAAACAAAGTCATGTCACAGAAAGAGTCTGGACATTCCTGCCACCACTTCCATAAGTAAATTCTAATTCTGCGTCTGCCTCACTCCCTCAAGATTTTGTGTTCCAAACAAGGACATATAATTGGCCAATCATGAGGAAAGGAATGTCTGGCTCTGCCTCCCACTCAGACCTATTGGAGTATGGGGCAGGGGCTGCCCAAAATGGAAAAGCTGTGTATTAGTTTCTTACAGCTGTGGTAACAAATTACCACAATTTAGTGTCCTAAAACAAGGCAAATTCATCATCCTACATCTGACAGACACAAGTCCAATAATGGTCTTAACCTTAAGGTGTTGGCAAGACTGTACTCTTTCTGGAGGCTCCATGAAGAATTCATTACTTACATTTCCCAGATCCTAGAAGTTGCCTACATACCTAGTCTCATACCCATTCTAGCAATTGCACTGTAACAGGGTGCAGCCAAGTGGGGGACCGCAAATGGGGATTTGTAATAGGGTCCAGAAATCAGGGTGTCCAGGAAATATTAGAAATATATATATTTCCATTTCTATATTTCTCTATCTGATGGCAATTGGGAGAACTGTGTGGGATCCCAAATTGTCTCTATTTTTCACATGACATGGCTGGATACCTTCTGAACAGATCACATATTTCCAATGTGTATGTGTGTGGCGAAACCTAGCACAGTACTTGTTACCTACAAACTATGTTCAAGAAGCACTCCCTGAATGAATGAATAACCTAGTTTCAGTCAACAGATGAGACAAATTAAATTAGGGTAAATGCAATGCTGCTATAATACAGAGGCTTCAACATTCAATTGCTAGCAATTTATGGATCAGTAAGAGAGAGCAATGGCTCTGCCTCATAGATTTGTTCAAAGGAAACATTATGTCCATAAAGTTTCTGTGTCATCTGCTAAAGCAGTGCTTCTCAAGTTTAATGTGAATGTGAATCACCTAGGACTTTGTTAAAATGCAGATTCTGAATCAGTAGTTCTGGGATGATGTCTTAGATACTGACAGGCTCTCGGGAAATTTTGATCAACAAGTCTTTAAGGAAACTTGTTGAAGATGGGTTGCAGGACTATCTGGGTTTCAGCCCACAGGAAGAAGAAAATTAAAGGGAAAAAATTAACCCTGGCTGGTGTGGCTCAGTGGATTGAGTGCTGGCCTGAGAGCCAAAAGGTTGCTGGTTCAATTCCCATTCACGGCCCTAGCCTAGGTTGCTAGCCAGGTCTTCATTTGATGTCATGTGGGAAGCAACTGATCAATGTTTCTCTCAGACATCAATGTTTCTCTCCCCTCTCTCTACAAATAAATAGAATCTTTTTTTTTAACAAAAGGGGAAAATTACATGGTAGCAATTTCCTTTTAAGCAAGAGGAGTTGGAAGCATGTGCACAAATCACTTCCATTCGCTTTTCATTGGTGAAAACAGTTCCTGGACCAGCTGCATGGAAGTCTGAAAACTGGTCTCTAACAGGGCAGAGGGATTCAGGCTTAAATTCTATAGGTATGCAACAGGGAGAAAATGGATTTCGGTGGAAAACCAGCGGTCTCTGCCAAGCAAATGCTTAACTATTTTGTAAGTAATGTTCAGGCTTATTAAGTTTTTCTAAAAGAAGTGACGAAAACTCCTAGTTGCTTAGTTTTTTTCACTCGTAGAAGGAAAATGATAATATCTGTTCCTATGTGCTCTCAGTGCTCTAAGATTTAAATAGCTAGTTGAGTGCATGTGTGTCAGTAATAATGACCAAATAGAGCTGATCTAGAACAGAACAAATACCAGGTGCACTCATGTTTATACAACTATCTTCGAGGCTAACTTCAGTTAGTAATGAGCCCAAAACAGAAGTAAATGATTTGTTACCCTCACCCTCCAAAAGTTTCTTTCAGAAACAGAAGTCCACAACTGGACACAAACAAATTTCTGGCCCAATATTTCCCTGTCTGTACTACCTTCTGCTTCAATTAAACTCAGTGATGCTTAACTGCTGTGTTATCTGCCTTCCATTTTTGACACCTGCCCCTACCTTAGAATCAAGTGCTCCCCAATTTTCCCTCCATGATACATTTCTAAACCTCACAAAGAACAAAGTTTTCTCTGTCTCTTTAAGCAGCTGCTTTTTTTTGGCATCACTTATTTAACATTTAATACTTACTGTCTTCTTTACATATGCATATAGTATATATATATATTAGTTTTTCATCTAGACTCTTCAAAGTTCTCTGCATCTCCTTCAGAAATGTGTGACAATTCAACTAGACAATTCAGGATCATGTTGTACTTTGAAGAACTTTTATACATTTAATTAGATCACTATCTGTATATTATCTGCTTCCTATCTGGACAGCAATACATCTGTCTTATTCATTTCTGTATCCTCTAGGCCTGCACAGACCCAGTGTGAATAAGCACCCTACATATTTGTTGAATAATGGATTGTTGGTGTTGGCTATAGGAATTCAGAGTAGAAAAATAAATTGAAGCAAGTGAGAAGCAGTGGGGGCCGAAGGGCTCTAGAGAGACAGAAAAAGCAAAACCTCATAGTAATCAAATTCATTAAATCAGCAATTATTTATTGATTGTCTATTCATGGACCCTGCATTGCTGGAACTCATAGTTTATCAGAAAATATAGAAAAAATATTAAAGTGAGGAATAACTATGCATATGGAAGATAGGAAGGACACTAGCTAGAACAGAGCAGAGGGCCTGTGCAAGGTTGTGGCAATAGATAATGCAGGGTGGCTAATGTGAGACTTGATTATAGGGCGCCTGAGTGACACGATAAAAAATTTAGGGGTTTTCTATCTTCTTAAAGTCACTAGGCATCACAAACAAGAAAAGTAACACTGACATTTCAACATGCTAGGTTTTCCCGGATGATCTCTCATTCCAAAGCAAGGATCTCACCTAAGTCAAAACTTCTCTTAGAGGGATCCCCGTAAGTCAAGGCAGAAAGGCCATTTAATGTTCTCTACTTTTAAAATTAGTAAAGCAATACATGTACAAGGTTTAAAATTCAAATAGTAACAGAAAAATACTTAAAGAAAAATAAAAAAGTCTATCTCTCCCTATCTCCCCCCAATATCACTTCTCACAAGAAACTGACTTGAACTTTTAGTGATTCTAGGGCTCCTGGTGGTCCTCTTCACAATTCTAAATTAGGTTCTACTGATGCTATTTGTTAATTTATCAAGTTTATACAATATCTATAAATCCCCACTGCAAAATACGAAGAGGAAGCTTATAATACTTTCCTTCCCTTCCCCTTCCTACTTCTCCCAACTTTTAATATGATTTATAATTTTGTTTTAGTTCTTTTAATGGTTACATTAAAGATTTTAACATAAAGTCTCCCTTTCTTGTTCCATGAGACCTTAAACTGTTTCTTAACTACAACTATTTAAGATAAGGAAAGCAGAATTTCTAGCTTTACCTTCCCTTTTTTCTCTCCCCTTTCATATTTCTATATCTTTCAGCTTTACCAACACTCACGTAGTGAAAGATTATCAACAATAGAAACTAAGAATACAGGGTGGGGCAAAAGTATGTTTACAGTTGTGAGTACATGAAACAATTTATTCTTTTATTATAATTTATTAATTATTATATTATTTTTCTATACAAACTGTAAACCTACTTTTGCTCTACCTTATATTATTATGGCATCAACAAAAAAACATGGACAAAAATTAGCTCCAGAAGGTGAAACATAAGACTGACAGGATGGCAATTACAGTCTGCTTGAGACAATGCTGCTCAGATGAATGAATTTTTCATGATACCATTAATATCGACTATATCAATAATCCTTTTGGTCTCCACTAAACTATATCATCTCCACTATCACTATATAGGTGATGA